GGGTTCCAAATATAATTCTTGTATAAATTTTTGCATCTCAATTCAGCTATCCTTCTGAATTGAATCGTTTTTAGTTTTAGTCACATGAGGGTGAGACCCAGGGTCACAGGGTTGATGCTCGGTCATAATATTTATTTCAGAAGAAATGATACTTTGTGCCTGGTTATGACTTGGGTAGGCGACTATATAATCATGCGAAACTTTTGTTTCTTCAGGCTGTATCAACACCGATTTGCTGTTTTGCTCAAGTGGAACTTTCGGTCTCGCTTTTTCACTACATAATTCTTTAACCGATATAGAGGAAAATTCTTGTTTCCAAAGTTTCTTCTCTCTAATTCTCTGAATTATCTCTTTACTAACCTTTTCTTTATATGTTGAACTCAGGAATTCATTGACCGCCTTATCTTCCAATAATTTACTCTCTTTGCGAATAGGTGACGCAGGATATTGGGATGAAGACTCATAACATACATCAGGATTTGAAGTGTTATTAGATATATTATCAGAATTAATTTCAATCTGTTTAGGTGTATCATCAGAATTCGTTATACAAAAGGCATTGGCTGTACTGCTGATATTAGCCGAAGATTGTTCTTTTGGAATGAATGTATCTACCTGTTCGGACTCCCTAGCATCCTTACTCTGTGAGTCATTTTGTGATAGCTTTTGTTTTAATTTCGCAACCCTGGATCTAAGCTCAATATTTTCTCTTGCAGATCATTATAATTTCACAATTCTAACCTCAAGCTTATTTTTTTCTTTCGTGATCTGTTCCAATTCCGTGATTCTAGCCATAAGTCTGGCATTCTCCTGTTTCAATAAATTTAGTTCAGATTTGGAGTTTCCCATTGTTTTATATAAGATGTAGATATGTTCAAAAGTTTGTATTTGTATTTATTGTTGTTCGTTTGGGCAACAATTTTTATAAAATAAAGAGAGTCCGGTGACCTTGCCATTTTAACGCAACTGTGTAAATATGTATTGGTTATTTTTATATCGTTATTTTGATTCCACCCATAACTTTATTAATTTAGAAAATCTGGACACGCGTGTCCAGGCGCAGTAAATATTGTGAAGGATAGTCATTAACCATGAATAGGTAAAGCCCAGTTTTTGACTCAAATTTTATGATCAAAAATTACACAAAAAAATTCTCGATTTAATTTTAAATGAACCAAAAATGATTCATAATAATATCATATTATTATAGCTTTTTACTATCTTAAAAATAACGAAATTTAATACAAATTTATAGACGATATGATAGCATTTACAATCTTAAATTAACCTCATGTCATTTTACACTTGTCCTACTGCAAGATATCAGAATGTACAATACAAATCAACTATAGCTTTTCTATCATATATTCTTATGTGTATTGTCTCTTGTTTGTTCGATCTCGATCCTTTAATATCCAAATGATTTTACCAAGGACTGTTTTAATTCCCTTCCTCAAATCCTCATCATTATTTAACTGTGTTGTTACCAAAGGTATATAATCGGATGCTTGACTACAGAAAATTTGACCAGGAGTATGCTTCAAAAAATACCAATCGGTGCCGGTTGATACGATTCCGTAGACATATTCTGAATACGCCTGATCCGGGTACAAATCATCAAGCTTACGCTTTTTGTTTTTGTTTGAATCTAACGAACCTTCAAGTTGTATTAAGTTTTGAGCAACTCCTACTTTTATATCAATTTGCTTTGCTTCAGTAACACAGATGATTTCTTCAAACCCACTACCTGTTAATTGCGGATAAATTTTCTTTATTGCATAATCTACCCTGCCGGCAAATACATCTCCAATAATCTCAAACTGTGAACGAAGGATGGTGTTTGGAACTGAATTTACTGCTGAGACTAATACTGACATAATAAAGTAGCTTCGCTATACTTCGTCCTGATCACCCATATTACCAATCGCTGACAACCTGGCCTATAATATTGAGTAATGAATCAATACATTCAACATATACACAACGGTGTGAAGAAAATATTGTAACTCAAACCTTTATTTCCTTTATACAATCTTCAAATACTCCCTTATAATTTTCTTCATTTTCACAATTAGGAAAAAACACTAGTATACTATGCACTTCGTCATTGTCGATTTCATGTTTTTGGAGAACCTCTCGCAAATTTTTATAACTGGAAAAGCACTTCTTATCTAATGTAACGATTAATTCGATA